CTTGCGAATGATCACTTTCGAAACAACGTCGCTGATTGCACAACTAAATCTGATTGCAACCAATCACGAATCCTGAACACTTGCACCATGAAAGGGCCGTATTAGAACAGAGGTTCGTAGGAAGATATGACAGGTAACCTGGGTATAGGATGGTAATGGGTATAGGATGAAATGTACATATTAAAAAGTGGCTCTTATCGTGTTTTCACACAACCAATTTTAAAGTACTGCCGGATGCCGTTGGTATCATGAGCGGCAGTGCTCGACTAAGTGTGGTTGGGCCAACGTTATGTTTTGGATGAATTAAGGTTTACTTTGAACTTACTTAACAGGTGCAACAAAGGTTGGCGTAGACGGGATGTGTATTTTATGCTTTTACGTTTAGACTGAACGGTCGTTTTGGGTGTGGCTCTACTATGATGCATGATGTGATCACTGTAACTGGCAGAACACCTTTACATGCTATTCACGGACGTGCCACTGTGCAGTAGTACTAGAGTGACAACACCCTGGAGGCAAAGGGGCGGTGGTAAAAGCTTTACCAGGTGAAGACCAGGGTTCGAGTCCCCACATGGGTACAATGTGTGAAGCCCATTTATGGTGTTCCTCGCCGTGATATTGCTGGAACATTGCCAAAAGTGGCGTAAAACTAAACTCACTCACTCCGGGAGGCAAACGTTATGCCATTTGCAGGTCGATATGAACGTCGTTTGTGTTTAGGGATGAAATCACAAGGGCATACAGCACCTCCAACAAGAGAACATAACCATCTAACCATGCTTCCGATCACTCTGAACGAACTTGGCACTGTCCTGCAGGAAGAATGGGATTGCATGAATCAAGTTGACATGGACCTTTTTGGTAAGGGGTATGCCTCGTCGAATCAGGTATTGTCTTGAGAAAATCGCTTAACATATAGTCTTCTTCTTTATGTATATTCCTATTTTAACGTATAGTCTTTTTTCATGTGTATTCCTGTTTTAACATACAATCTATTTCTTCATGTATATTCCTATTATAACGTCAAGTCTCTTATTCATGCATATTCCTATATTAGCATATAGACGTTTTCTTGTATTGCATGTTCCTATTTTGACATATAGTCTCTTTTTCATGTATAATCCTATTTTAACGTTTAGTCTCTATTCCTATTTAAAAGTATAGTGTCTTCTCCGTGTGTATTTATTTCTATTCAAAACAATCGCCCTTTCATGTATATTCCTGCTATATCAAATATTACCAGTATGTGGTAGAAATATGATCACGCGAGTGTCCGTAGGACAGCAAGCCGTCACTGCTAGCATTGAGATCACCTGTAACGCGTTCAAGTGGTTTCGCTCAGTGACGCTAACTCCTGTAATGAGGGGGATATGGATATATACCGGACCACCGCACATACTTCCATACTGTGTCACACTGACGTTTGATATTTGTGGTATGTCCTGGGAGGGTGGGGGTGGGTTGGGGTTGACGTGGCGGGGACTGGACGTGGTGGACAGAATACATACGTTGTTCGGCTGTAAGGGTTAAAAACTTGTCTGACCTAAAAAATCTCCACACCGTTCCACTACAGTTTCCACGTCAGCACACCAGCAACTTTCCGTTTTTAGAATGAGAGTGAACTATAACCAGAGCCCGTATTTTGATTGAGTCTAACATGTGCTCAAGTTGAAATATACAATCTTTATTGTACATTACTACGCCAATACGTCAAACTCTGTCAGCACAACTTTGATTACCACACAAGACCCTATTGAGTAGTTTTCTCGTATTCGAGACAATTTCCACCAAGGACCGACTGACTCACCTAAATAGCTGTAGTGCGGAGGGGAAAACAATGGCCTCTTCGTCGCTTATGGAAATGGGTTTGTAAGGACGGTGTAATAGAAGAAAAGATCATTGTTTTCCCAGAAAATTAAATCCTAAACCCCCCAAATCCAAAAGTATATAGTTGATAGGGGCTCTTTCTTGGTCGCGGATTCCAGACAGTTCATTTCATGGTTTTCGGTTGCTTGGAGATTAACGAGGTCGGATGTTCAGAATTGCTGAGTTGGTTCATCCCAGTTGCACAGATCGATGCTCCTTACTTCAACCACTTGTCTGACTCGAATATTTTCAGACCCCTGACGAACAGCTGGAATATTACTGAGCGCGAAGTAAAACAACGAACTCACAAAGTTTGTTACTAACCGATCTAAAGTGGACGACATGAAATACTTGAATATTACAACTGTTTGTCGCGGTGTGTCAGGGCTGCTTCATCAGAGGACTTCCCTTGTAGTTCCCCACACTGGGCTGTTTGTCACGGTGTGTCAGGGCTGCTTCATCAGAGGACTTCCCTTGTAGTTCCCCACGCTGGGCTGTTTGTCACGGTGTGTCAGGGCTGCTTCATCAGAGGACTTCCCTTGTAGTTCCCCACACTGGGCTGTTTGTCTCAGTGTGTCAGGGCTGCTTCATCAGAGGACTTCCCTTGTAGTTCCCCACACTGGGCTGTTTGTCTCAGTGTGTCAGGGCTGCTTCATCAGAGGCCTGCCTTTGTAGTTCCCCACACTGGGCAGTTTGTCACGATATATCAGGGCTGCTTCATCAGAGGCCTTCCCTTGTACTTCCCCACAATGGGCAGTTTGTCGCTGTGTGTCGCTCCTGGAATCTCCTGAATTGACGTTGCACTTACACGAGCATATGTTTTCGTACAGATGAAAAAGATGTCACTGAAGTTGGTAACTTGAGGTAAAACCAGGCACAAAATCAACCTTGAAACTTAGTGACTTTGGTTTCCAACATGTCGTCAGGATTTTTCTAAAAGCATGCAGGAGAAAACTCTGTGAGCTCTAACATCTCCTGAGCTTCATATGAATGTTTTTCTGTAAGTAGTGGATGACATCAGGTTTAATTCTTCCATCCACGCACACGGCAGAACTTTTAGCCCCAAGGTTTTGTTTGTGGTCGACAAAACCGTCGCACGTTTTATTTATTAGTTTTGTCAGGCACACCTGCATTGAATGAATCCTTAACATGAGGACCAGACAAAGATATCAATCCAGTTACTGTGTTGAAAGGTGTGGAGAAACTAAAGTTCAGCCAGTGAAAGATCAGCAATAAATTCCTTCTTCTGATGTAACGGGCGGAAAGAGGGTTTAGTGTCAGTCACAACTACACATATATGTTTCCATCATAAACACAAGAGTGCTGTCATTGTATGGTATACGGCTTCCAGGACTTTGTCGTTATAACAAAATAGAAATGGTTGCGTTTTAGAAGAGTTAGGTAAAAGGCAACAACAACCCAGAGCACGATTGCGATCATAAACGTGGTCATTGTATTCCTTCACCTGAAGGCAGGGTGTGATTCCACTTCGTCCCTGTTTGTTGACCTTAGACTTAATTCAAATTCAGTCAATCAACTGACAGGTGATCAGTTTGATATGTACACTGCCCTGGGACAGCCCGTGTCTGTCAGGTGTTCCTTGTGCTTCGTCGCATACAGCAATACTCAAGCTGTGTTAGATGGTCTTGAAATACTCTGGATTGCACCAGTGATTCACTTTAGTCAAAGCAGTGATTGAGCTTACTAGGATGCTTACCCGCAATCGCCAGACAATCTCGTATGCTATTTAGTACAAATTTTATGCCGGAATCCCAAGAGGAGACAAACAATGGTTGCTAGGGCGATAGGCTGCATATAAGGGAGAGTACTGACCCGAAATTCCCACTAGGAGACAAACAAAGGCTGCTAGGGCGATAGGCTGCATATAAGGGAGAGTACTGACCCGGACAAACAAAGGCTGCTAGGGCGATAGGCTGCATATAAGGAGAGTACTGACCCGAAATTCCCACTAGGAGACAAACAAAGGCTGCTAGGGCGATAGGCTGCATATAAGGGAGAGTACTGACCCGGACAAACAAAGGATGCTAGGGCGATAGGCTGCATATAAGGGAGAGTACTGACCCGAAATTTCCACTAGGAGACAAACAAAGGCTGCTAGGGCGATAGGCTGCATATAAGGGAGAGTACTGGCCGAGAATTCCTACAAGGAGACAAACAAAGGCTGCTAGGGCGATAGGCTGCATATAAGGGAGAGTACTGACCCGGAATTCCCACTAGGAGACAAATAAAGGCTGCAAGGGCGATAGGCTGCATACAAGGGAGTGTACTGACCCGGAATTCCCACTAGGAGACGAACAAAGGCTGCTAGGGCGATAGGCTGCATATAAGGGAGAGTACTGACCCGGAATTCCCACTAGGAGACAAACAAAGGCTGCAAGAGCGATAGGCTGCATATAAGGGAGAGTACTGACCCGGAATTCCCACTAGGAGACAAACAAAGGCTGCTAGGGCGATAGGCTGCATATAAGGGAGAGTACTGACCCGGAATTCCCACTAGGAGACAAATATAGGCTGCAAGAGCGATAGGCTGCATGTAAGAGAGAGTACTGACCCCGAATCCTCAAGGGGAGGCAAACATTGGTAGTACTGATGAGTGGTTAGGGCCGTACAGACTAGGTCTAAACCCTCTCTTTTATCTACGTACTGGCTAGGTGTAAACTATTGTTGTATCTACATACTAGTGTGGCCTAAACCCTCTATTGTATCTACGTACAGGCTAGGTTATATGCGTTTTGCGTGGGTCTAAACTGCTTTTTGTACCCATGTACTGTCTAGGTCTAAACTATTTTGTATCTGCGCATTGTCTGGCTATACACGGTTCATTCTATGTACGAACTGTCTCTCTTGTAGGTACACCCTAGCTATAACCTGGACTTTTGTCTCTGTGTACTGTGTAGATCTAAACCCTCTCTAGTATTTACGTACAGGCTAGACCTGAACTGCCTTATGTATCCACGTACTGCCTAGATCTAAACTCTAACAAGTACATGCATACAGTGTAGGTCGAAACTCTATCTAGTATTTCCGTACATCCTAGCTCTTAACTGTAACTTGCATATTCTCAACTGTTTTGGTCGATGTCTAAAATGTTACTTGTATACATACATACGTACTCTCCTCCTTTCTACTCTCTACAACATCTTGTATCTGCGTACAGTCTTGAGAGTGCTGTCTGCGAGCGTTGATGAAGCCATGCATGTTGTCTTCAACTAGAACTACGAAGGCTACGGTCAACAAATTGCTCACAATCAACGGATGTCAATCACTCACTGACTGACCTTATGTTTAAAATAAGCCATACTTTTGTTATGTTTTGTATCCTAAAGAGGTGACATCCCGTGGAATTCGAAAATAAGAATTTCATGTCCTGAATTGGGCTTTCACATGGCTCACAATGAGAGAGGAGAGGAAACAAATCTTACAAAGTGCCTTTGGTTACATGATATGCCGGAAATAGGTCGCGACCTGCCGGAAACCGTTTTGCGACAATAGCTTGAGATTAGCTTTGCATTTGTTAGTCTCACGGTCGCAAAATGCTTGCTTAGCTATAATATTATATCAGATAGGTTTTATTACGAAGAAAATATCAGCATCTACGAAAGGAATTATATGAGACAGATACTAAAGTATGAATCGCAATGTACCTCTACAGTGTCAGCTATAGTACTACCATTTCACGGCGATCTGTGAATAGTAGGTTCTGGGTGACGCAAACCAGTGCTCGATGGCACGACAAACAATCAACGCCATCTGATCTGATTGGTTGGCCAATCGTCAGATGGCGTTTCGGTCTGTATTGTAGGCAGCTGCTAAGATAAACCTAACCGAAATATGACACGGTTGCCGAGCTATATGACGTATACGCTCTAAACGTTCCCAACTACAAACCGATTCTTAAATGTTGTATGAGAAACGACATCTAGAATCCAGAACCCCCCACCCCCACCCCACAAAACAGACTCATACGCCACATGGAATAAAACATATCGTCGTTGTCTTGTGGAACATTTCCGAATCCTTATTGTTAAATGAATACCACGAAATACGTGTGCTACATACATGTTCTGCTCTAGTGTGATGCATGACACTATTTATACCGTGTCTCTTCCGCAATCCGCTAAAGTTTGCAATGATCTGTTTTATTGATCAGGCCTACAATACGAGACAGAAGAATTTCTTGGTATCTTTTACAATCACTGACTCATCCGGCAAAGTAAAGGTTATCTACGACAGCATTACTTATGAATGTACATCGTCGTTTGCCATAAAGTCAAATGTTTGTGTGTCACCACACCTGTTTGAACAAATGGGTGGACAGGACGAATTTTTATTTCTTTCATCCAACCAATTTCCCAAACATTCAAACTATATTCATAATTATAAGCATACAATTGAAAATTGGTTTTCACTGGAAGGTTACACAAAGTAACGGTAGTTGGCTTAAATCAGTCGCCGATACACTGCAAACAGGAAGTGAGAAATATCACTGTACATGATGCCCGTAACACTGCGATCAGAACAAACACAATGACTTGTCAGAGTGAGTTAGAATAACAGCAATTCAGTTAAAATAGTCCTCTCAATGTTGGAACAAGGCTTGAAGGCCTGGAGGTTACCACGAAACCAGGTTGCCATGATGCAGACCTGCTGGTTACCACAGAACCAGGTTGACGTGATGCAGGCCTGGCGACCACCACGGAACCAGGTTGACGTGATGCAGGCCTGGAGGTTACCACAGAACCAGGTTGACGTGATGCAGGCCTGGCGACCACCACGGAACCAGCTTGCCATAATGCAGGCCTGGCGACCACCACGGATCAAGGCTGACGTGATGCAGGGCTGGCGACCACCACGGAACCAGGTTGACGTGATGCAGGCCTGGCGACCACCACGGAACCAGGTTGACGTGATGCAGGCCTGGAGGTTACCACGGAACCAGGTTGACGTGATGCAGGCCTGGCGACCACCACGGAACCAGCTTGCCATGATGCAGGCCTGGCGACCACCACGGATCAAGGCTGACGTGATGCAGGGCTGGCGACCACCACGGAACCAGGTTGACGTGATGCAGGCCTGGCGACCACCACGGATCAAGGTTGACGTGATGCAGGGCTGGCGACCACCACGGAACCAGGTTGACGTGATGCAGGCCTGGAGGTTACCACAGAACCAGGTTGACATGATGCAGGCCTGGAGGTTACCACGAAACCAGGTTGCCATGATGCAGGCCTGGAGGTTACCACAGAACCAGGTTGACGTGATGCAGGGCTGGCGACCACCACGGAACCAGGTTGCCATGATGCAGGCCTGGCGACCACCACGGATCAAGGTTGACGTGATGTAGGCTTGGTGGTTACCACGGAACCAGGTTGACGTGATGCAGGCCTGGCGATCACTACGGAGAACCATGTTGACGTGATGCAGGCCTGGAGGTTACCACGGAACCAGGTTGACGTGATGCAGGCCTGGAGGTTACCATGAAACCAGGTTGCCATGATGCAGGCCTGGCGACCACCACGGAATCAGGTTGACGTGATGCAGGCCTGGAGGTTACCACGGAACCAGGTTGACTTGATGCAGGTCTGACGACCACCACGGAACCAGGTTGACGTGGTGCAGGCCTGGAGGTTACCACGGAACCAGGTTGACGTGATGCAGACTTGGTGGTTACCACGAAACCAGGTTGCCATGATGCAGGCCTGCGACCACCACGGAACCAGGTTGACGTGATGCAGGCCTGGAGGTTACCACGGAACCAGGTTGACGTGATGCAGGCTTGGTGGTTACCACGAAACCAGGTTGACGTGATGCAGGCCTGGACGGTTGACCATGCGGAGGTTACCACGGAACCAGGTTGACGTGATGCAGGCCTGGAGGTTACCACGGAACCAGGTTGACGTGATGCAGGCCTGGAGGTTACCACGGAACCATGTTGACGTGATGCAGGCCTGGAGGTTACCACGGAACCAGGTTGACGTGGTGCGGGCCTGGAGGTTACCACGGAACCAGGTTGACGTGATGTAGGCCTGGAGGTTACCACGGAACCATGTTGATGTGATGCAGGCCTGGAGGTTACCACGGAACCATGTTGACGTGATGCAGGCCTGGTGGTTACCACAAAACCAGGTACTGTGAAGAAATTTAGATCCACAATCTGAGTCTGTTCCATACTTATATTGCTAATTGCCATGGCAGTACGGGCATATGGTGTAGGGATATCTCGAGCTAGCGGGATAGCTTTTAAGAATGAGATTGATGCAAGTCATGAAAATCAGTATTACCACATAGAGGACCATCCATGTATGAAACTCACGATCGTTTCAAAGCTGGGACAGTCGTTTTTAAAGTGCTATGTAAGCACTGACGTTCCGATCGTTTTAGCGGCACGACTGTCCTAAGTTCTATGTTGAATTATGGAACATGTCTTAAGACAGCATTGCTGACCGGGGAGTATAGTGTTTCACTTTACAATATATGCACCGTCACTAAAATGAGTTCGAGCTTTCCGAGCTTTCTTTCAACTCCAAATCCTGACAAAGAACATCTAGTCGCTCTAATGGAACACAAGTAGTATCTGTTATCAACTTCAACTCTTTATTGTTAAGTGTGTTACTTAGTCAGATTTCAAATTATGTTGTTTTCAATTTTGAATATGTGTAAAGTTGTTGAGTTGACGGATTTTGACATAGTTACACCCTGCACGGAGCTGTGTCATTACCTAACCGAGCGGTAAACACGGGTATGTTGGACGAGTGACAATTACCCTGTGTGGTTATCTGAAGGAGGGTAAAGTTCTGGCGTACAGTCTGTGCCCATGGTACGAGTCTAATCGACCCAGGGACATGAAAGGCCCTGGGAGTTATGACGCTGTCTCTATCACCGTGTCAGGGTACAAATAAGCTTCGATGTACGTTGCAAACTGGGAGACTATTCGTACTTTTGTCGAACAACACAAGAAACCTCTTTGCGAGATCATTTCTCCTGTTAAAAAAGGTCAACCTTCATTTGAACGCAATGATTCGCACCAAAAGATGGAGAGATGGCAAGTCTCAAAATATGCACTGTATGAAATCACCTCGTTACACTGATTGTGTCACTTTGCTCGGTGACAATGTAAACTCGCTACACTGCCTCTGTCACTTTGCTCGGTGACAATGTAAACTCGCTACACTGCCTCTGTCACTTTGCTCGGTGACAATGTAAACTCGCTACACAGCCTCTGTCACTTTGTTCGGTGACAATGTAAACTCGCCACAGCTGCCTCTGTCACGTAGCTTTGTGACAATGTAAGCTCTCTGCACTGCCTTTGTCACTTAGCTCGATGACAATGTAAGCTCGCCACCCTGCCTTTGTCACTCAGATCAATGACCACGGGCTACATTGTCACTGTCTGCTGAACAGGACCGACACATCCTCCAGGACCACGGGCTATATTACCACTAGGCTTACCCTCGTGCGCCTATTCCCATTCCCCGAAACGGGACAAAAGGGACTCGCTTTGTATATTGTGCAAATGATTGTATAATTAGTTATTGGCTTGCGCCATCGCCGTGTGACATGCGCACTGGCCTATCGATGTACAAGTCAGTTCTGTAAGTAAAGTTGACGTCAGTTGACTGTCAGTGATCTTGTCTGTTGGTCGTCTCTCGTCGGTAGTTCACCGAACAACCGTGCAAACGTAACATACTGTACTCAAACACGGGCTTGTGAGACGCAAACGTTTCAATAACCAACGTCAATGGCCCCAATAAAACAAAACACACATACAGAACTAGAGGTAATTGTTTATTGCTTCGCAAAAATAAAGGACAGTACTTATCCTAGTTTGGCCATAGACAAGGCCACACCGTTTCACTTGAAACAAGAGCAACATACATACATCATAACAAGATATATACTCGGTCAGATCATGGCGCGTACAACTGACAATATGAGTTCGCTCCCTTTGCACCATCACAAGTTCTCTCCCCTGAGGCAAGATAGTTTTGTTTTAAAAATTCACATGAAATCTCGGGAGTTCTCAACTGTGTCAACAAATAGATATAAGAATGAACGATGCACAAAATATACATGCAGTTGACCATTTGTACGATAATATGAACGTGTTTGTGGTGAGACTGTGAAAACTAACGCTATACATGGAGAGAGACTTAACAATGAAAGGACACCAAGGACTCATCAACATTTGTCCACCTCGGCGGCATCTATGGCCGCTGACTCGCGCGGGCCAGGTTGGTGAGAGCCAGGGCAGCATCTATCGTCTTCCAGTACATGTCCTTGTCCTCTCTGAAACGGGGAAAGAGAGTCAGAACTTCGGTTATATGTGGCAATAAGTGAGTAAGAGAGTGAACAGTTATATCGTGGCCTCTTAGTACTGGAATATTACCTCAAGTGTCGCACTACGTGTAAGTGAGACAGTGCGTTTTTCAATTACATCGCAGTCTGTTGGTACAATGTTGGAGGGAAACAATGGTTTGTCCCACGACTCTTGAATCAGCTAGGGAAAGCTTGTAAATCCAGACAGTATCCTTGTTTGTGAAGTCTTACGGTTAAACACCTTTACTGAAGAACGAACCCAGGACAAGTCCATATGTCCATCAATACTACACAGGCGGTGACTGATATGGCTTTACCGTTGTAGCGGTGGTTACATAAGGGTTCACTGAATGCAGAGGCCCCGTTTACATATTACAGTCAAGATAACTGCATGTTTTTTTAATAACAACAAAATTACACAATCTTCTTGTTTGTAAACCGAAACCAGATTTATTAACTGCAACACGCATCTGCATAGTTTACTATATTGTACCGTGTTTTTCTACAGTGTAACACATACATAAAGGCTGAACTCACTCACCTGTTGTCGCCTGTTGTGCGTCGTTTCTTGGCAGGAAGCTCGCCATCCTCTGGGAAATCTGTAACATTAAGTTACAGAGCTAGAACATGACGAAAACCACCGAAGGGATGACACTGGACCTAAATAACGTCAAGCAGTGACGACGTTAGACCTACATGACGCCCAGAAGGGACGACGTTAGACCTACATGACGCCCAGAAGGGACGACGTTAGACCTACATGACGACAAGAAGGGACGACGTTAGACCTACATGACGTCAAGGAAAGTCGACGTTAGACCTACATGACGACAAGAAGGGACGACGTTATACCTACATTACGTCAAGGAAAGTCGACGTTAGACCTACATGGTGTAAGAAGGGACGACGTTATACCCACATGACGTCAAGGAGGGACAACGTTAGACCTACATGACGTCAAGGAAGGAGAACGTTAGACCTACATGACGTCAAGAAGGGACGACGATATACCCACATGACGTCAAGGAAGGTCGACGTTATACCTACATGACGTAAGAAGTGACGACGTTATACCTACATGACGTAAGAAGGGACGACGTTAACCCTACATGACGTCTAGAAGAGCTGGCGTCAGACCTACATGGAGTCAAGGAGGGACGACGTTAGACCTACATGACGTCAAGAAAGGACGACGTTAGACCTACATGACGGAAAGGAGGGACGAACGCTAGGCCTGCATCGCGGCACTGAGGGAAAAAAGCATACCTGTTGATGGGTTCATAGCAATCTTTGGATCACTGATTCACATTTACTACCCGACTAGCGATGAGAAATGTCAGAAACAAGACACCCCCGAGCTGTGGAACCTGATGCCAGGGTTTGCCCATTACTTGTGCATAATTTGAGAATTCCATTATGAGCAAATTACACGCACAATTGTCTTTCAAGCCATAAAGAAGTTCTGATCTTCGGTTTCACCACTGGCATTTTCCAATCCATTACTGTTTCCTTTTCAGAGCCATCTTAATGTTTTCAATTAGCAAACAGATAAATCTAGGTTTTCAACATTTTTAATTTAACGGCATCATATGTCATAAGCGAAGCGAACCACTAGGCTACCCAACCAACAAAGGGTAGATTATATTTTCAGAAAAATAGTATAAATGACTGAATAACTCCTTGGTAATTCATTGAATTTGGTACCCATATTTGAGACGCCGTTTAGAACAGTATTTCAGTTACATTGCGGCTTGTGGTGGGAGAGGAAACATTGGTTACGATTAACAAAATGTCGGCCATAATTCAAACGAAGTCAAGCTCAACAGGGTCTTCTTTCCCCGCCGAGGAGCCCAAGCCCGTTCCCTTGGGTGTGTTTTCGCTAGATACTCTTGTTTTAACATACTGTTTCTATTTCTACGATATATGCAAGACGCAATAAGTCACACAATCAATCAAAATGTTGCTGCTTGGCGCAGTGAGTGTGAATCCCTTTGTGGGAAGCGATGACCGCTATGTTTTTGCACCGCTTCAGCAGATTTTAAGTCCCGTTCTGACGTACATTCTACATCAATAGATTTTACCGGAAGGAATTTTCATATAAGAGGAAGGTTCAGTTGAGTACAAATTCGAGATCAGAGCCTGTCCCGGCCAGAAACGGAACATGCGTCATACAATGCACTAAGTGACCCCACTGCAATGGTCACACCACGAGATAACATGCAGCATGACTCATACCTCCCAAATCAATTTTTATCAGCAGAATTTATTGCATTATTCAGCACTTTGGGAGTTGTCCACATGTATGGGTACTGCGCCATCTGACTTTTATAGGTCATTGTGATGTATGTCATCTAGGCATGGTATAAGTTATTTATTGCTAAGGGCACGAGGTGTGAAGTAATTACTACGATGGAATGCAGCAGGAACAGCACGCGGGCATGTTTACAGCTCCGTACACTGCCATACACTGGTAGGTAGCAACACTTACACAATCAATAACACTAGCACTACATCAGTCTGGCATATATCTGCTCCGTACAGGCCTGCTCTGTATAGCCTGTACACATCAATCGTTCCAGGGAAGTGAGTACTAGTATTGATACGCACTGATACTGGACATACACCATTCTATGATGCAGTTAAAACCAGGCTGTCAATCGGTGAACAGCGTCACAAAACCCCACCCACGCTGGTCCTCCTGTGGGTAACATACAACACATATACACTGGTTTAACATAACACATCACGATGTGACTCAACATATCCCTGCACAGGCTAATCAAGCGCCAGTTCACAGGTAGGTAATACAACAGAACCCGTGCGCTAATGGCCCCATCTCCAGAAGGAAGGGATTCCACCAATCACAATGTGTCTAAAAAATCTTGGAAAAACACGACCTTGGTGATAAATTGACGTAGGATGTCGATTTGGTTTCCTCTGCGGTAATCAGTTAAGCTGGTAATCAGTAGCTATCTGCGTGGTTGATCGGGGACACTCGAGTGGGAAGTGGATATTGTAGCGTTAATGCACTACTTCATAGGAAAGGATGAGGCTGGCGTTGTGTAGTGGACCCTATGTCTGATAGAAGGGGTTGCCCGACAGTCACAACACCTCGACTGCTCGGGAACACACAACATGGCTTCCCTTACTTACGTTGTGTGGCAGTAGGTTGCGATTGATGTGTTCAGATATATCGGTGATTCTCTGAAGAGATAAATCTGGAACACACCGAGGACTATGCATGACATACGTCACTTGTTAGAGCTGGTAAGGCAACAACAAATAACATCTTTTTAATATGTAACTTCTAAAGGGCCGATTATTAAAAAATCCCGAAACAGTGACTGAAACATTCGAACAGATGTAACACCAACTAAACCCACGTCCCGACTGATGATCGGTTCATTGACTATGATGAATATCGCCGTTTGATATTATCGCTTCCTTTCAAGAGTGTGTTGGTCATCAAGAATGAGAAACAACAGGACGACCAGTCTGACGAGCCATCAACACATGAGCCATCAACACATGAGCCATGATCATACCTCTTCCTTTTATTGTGAGGAGATAACTCTCCCGGACAGTCAACCAAAGAACGAATGATAGCAATCGATTCAGTACCGCCTATAACGCTTTAATATACCTCGGCCAGCAAGAGCACTGAAATGAATTCGTTGTGAACATAGTGTGCTGGTTATTGTTCAAGAGATATCACTACAACGTAGGTTGAATTTATCGTTAAAGGGAGACAACTGTAACGTACCATCAAACACATTATGGTGGTTATCGTTAAAAGGTGACGACGCAGAGGATGTGGACATCTCCTCGTAGTCACGTGACCCCATGGATCCTGACTGCCGTCGGTCACGTGTTCTGGGAAGGTCGCCATCCTCCAAGGTCACAGGATGGCTGTAGTGGTCATTCAGATACCTTTGAAGAATAGTGTTTTTGTACTTGAGATGACACCCTATGTCCTCCGGAACAGACAAGGGCTCTTGCCTGAAATCCAGTGCGGAATTGTACGTAGGCGAGGCAGCCCGAGAAGGCACGATAGTGTCCATGGCGAGCGAATGGTCATCTGAGATCACTGCGGATTGGTCAATGGGGAATGTAGTGGGCTGCCCTCCTGAAAAAGAAGAATAACATTGATGAGGCCGTCATACAAAAGCATCGTGGAACATTATTGTGCATGCTCGTTTGAAAACAACAATCATGACGGAGGGATGCCCGGCACCAGGTTCTCAATCCTTCCAGTTAACGTGACACTTAGCCCTGGCAACACAGGTTATCACTCCTTCCACTTAACGTGACACTTAGCCCTTGCAACACAGGTTATCACTCCTTCCACATAACATGACACTTAGTCCTTGCAACACAGGTTATCACTCCTTCCACTTAACGTGACACTTAGCCCTGGCAACATAGGTAATCACTACTCACACTTAACGTGCGCACACTTAGCCCTCGCAACACAAGACATCACTACACCAGCTTAACGTGACACTTAGCCCTGGCAACACAGGTTATCACCCCTCCCACTTAACGTGACACTTAGCCCTGGCAACACAGGCTATCACTCCTCCCACTTAATGTGACACTTAGCCATGGCAACAAAGGTTATCACTCCTCCCAGTTAACGTGAAAGCTTAGCCCTGGTAACACAGGTTATCACTCCTCCCACTTAACGTGACACTTTGCCCTCCCACTTAACGTGACACTTCGCAGTTGCAACGCAGTGCAAGTTTTTTAGTATAGATTAGTGCATGAAGTTTATGAAGACGTGTATTTATTATGCATTAGGACGATAAGCTGGAGTATTTGAATCTCCACATGAATTATTCATATACAATGCGCAAATTGAGACCGGAACTATGATTAGTAATATCGATAAGCTTGTAACAGCCTGCATGGTTTAAACAATATAGCCGGGAGCTGTGTAGTAACCGTGATGTAAACACTCAAGTGGGTGGTCCCCACCTCTGGTATCTTCCCGAGACACATATATTTGTTATGTTTTAACAGTCTAAAGACGTATGCAGTGACCAAAACCAAGAATGATACTCAATCCAACCATACTGCACCGAACACAATCATGCTGCATCATAACAAACATCTCATTTCATGCTCAATTGCAAGGTGCGAGTGATCCAAACTAAATGTACAATAAGCTTACACAATCTTTCTTCACTAATTACTACGCATTACTATCTCCTCCTACCGGGTACCCATTCACTGCTTTGTGCACTGAGAGATATTTCAAACGATGAATTTGCTTAAGGAGACACGATGTGTTACATGTTACAGTGTGGCGCGACCAATAGACGTCATTTATGGTGTCTCTTGAGGTGGGAATTATGTAACTTCAGTTGATGACAGATGCATCTTATTGTACGGACAGGTAACATTCTTTCTCTCTCGCAGTCTGTGAGAGCGCGCTGTAACTCGTGGCGTTATTGCTTCGTGCCTGGCACGGGTCTGGCTATTGTTAGTTGACTTTATCACATGTAATAATAGGACGAGCACTCAACTCCCCGGGGAGATTTCCCAGGAGATATGATCGCAAATGCATAGCTTCTCCCACAAAACTCCACGACAAGATCTAACAGTATCGGAGTAAGAACTCAAATGACATCACACTTGATATGTTCGTATGATAAATGCCAATACATTCAAGTATGCATAATACCAGTGGTTGAAACTCTGAACCAGTGAAGACTAAACATTTCAGTGCACCTTTAGTATTAACCATAAATCTTCGCATTACAATATTTGAGAACCCAAACGACATACATCTCCACAATGGTGTACGGTATTTATCCGGAAATCTATTCACGTGGTCCGTATGAGAGATCTGAGTGAATCCCTGTTACTCCGCCAGCAGGTGAAACTGAGAGACATCGTGCTTCAAGGGCGGTGCTGCTGCACTATGCAGCCCTTTACGTGAGGTACTCCGCCAGCAGGTGAAGCTGAGAGACATCGTGCTTCACGTATACGTGCGTTTCCCCACGTGCTGCCAGCACACTGAGTGCATCCCTGGCGGTGCTTACGTGCCCCTACTCCGCCAGCAGGTGGTGAAGCTGAGAGACATCGTGCTTCAAGGGCGGTGCTGCTGCACACTATGCAGCCCTTTACGTGAAGTACTCCGCCAGCAGGTGAAGCTGAGAGACATCGAAGCTGCTGGACATCGTGCTTCAAGCAGGTGCTACACAATGCAGCCCTTTACGTGAAGTACTCCGCCAGCAGGTGAAGCTGAGAGACATCGTGCTTCAAGGGCGGTGCTGCTGCACACTATGCAGCCCTTTACGTGAAGTACTCCGCCAGCAGGTGAAGCTGAGGGACATCGTGCTTCAAGGGCGGTGCTGCTGCACACAATGCAGCCCTTTACGTGAAGTACTCCGCCAGCAGGTGAAGCTGAGGGACATCGTGCTTCAAGGGCGGTGCTGCTGCACACTATGCAGCCCTTTACGTGAAGTACTCCGCCAGCAGGTGAAGCTGAGGACATCGTGCTTCATCGTGCTTCAAGGGCAGGTGCTGCTGCACGTGAAGTACTCCGCCAGCAGGTGAAGCTGAGGAGACATCGTGCAATGCAGCCCTTTACGTGAAGTACTCCGCCAGCAGGTGATCATGAAGCTGAGAACATCGTGCTTCAAGGGCGGTGCTGCTGCACACAATGCAGCCCTTTACGTGAAGTACTCCGCCAGCAGGTGATCACTTCAAGGGCGGTGCTGCTGCACACTATGCAGCCCTTTACGTGAAGTACTTTGCCAGCAGGTGAAGCTGAGGGACATCGTGCTTCAGGTAGGGCGGTGCTGCATCGCTTCACAACAATGCAGCCCTTTACGTGAAGTACTCCGCCAGCAGGTGAAGCTGAGGCTGACATCGTGCTTCAAGGGAACATCGTGCTTCGGTGCTGCTGCACACAATGCAGCCCTTTACGTGAGGTAACTCCCAGCAGCAGGTGAAGCTGAGGAACATCGTGCTGAGGGCTGACACACTATGCAGCCCTTTACGTGAGGTACTCCGCCAGCAGGTGATCATGCTTGAGGAACATCGTGCTTCATACGGTGCTGCTGCACACTATTAGCAGCCCTTTACGTGAGGTACTCCGCCAGCAGCTGAAGCTGAGAACATCGTGCTTCAAGGCGGTGCTGCTGCACACACTACTCCGCCAGCAGGTGCATCATAAAGCTGAGGGACATCGTGTGGGTGCTGCTGAACTATGCAGCCCTTTACGGGTACTTCGCCAGCAGGTGAATGAAGCTGAGGAACATCGTGCTTCAAGGGCTTTAACACACTATGCAGCCCTTTACGTGAGGTACTCCGCCAGCAGGTGATCATGAAGCTGAGGGACATCGTGCTTCAAGGGCGGTGCTGCTGCTGCCCTTTACGTACGAGGTATGCCAGCCCTGAGAGACATCGTGCTTCACGTGACAGCAGCCCTACGTGAGGTACCGCCAGCAGGATGAAGCTGAGGAACATCGTGCTTCAAGGGCGGTGCTGCTGCACACTATGCAGCCCTTTACGTGAAGTACTCCGCCAGCAGGTGAAGCTGAGAGACATCGTGCTTCAAGGGCGGTGCTGCTGCACACTATGCAGCCCTTTACGTGAAGTACTCCGCCAGCAGGTGATCATGAAGTACTGAGGGTGATCATGAACATCGACATGCTTCAAGGGCGGTGCTGCTGCACACTATGCAGCCCTTTACGTGAAGTACTCCGCCAGCAGGTGATCATAAGTACTCCGCCAGAGGTGACTGAGACTGCTTGCTGCTGCACACTATGCGTTTGGTGCTGCGCCAGCTATGCAGCAATATTCCGCTGCACATCACTCCGCCAGCAGGTGATCATACTGACTGACTGACTGACTGGAGTTTGGTTTTACGCCGCTTTTAGCAATATTCCAGCTACATCACGTCGGGGGAACACCAGAAAATGGGCTTCACACATTGTACCCATGTGGGGATTCGAACCCGGGTCTTCTGCGTGACGAGCCAACGCTTTAACCACTAGGCTACCCCACCGCCCCGCAGGTGATCATAAAGCTGAGGGACATCGTGCTTCAAGGGCGGTGCTGCTGCACACTATGCAGCCCTTTACGTGAGTTTTCGATGAACGTCTTAATAAATAAAGACTAAATAACAACATGATTGCAGTCAAGTGTTGATAAACGTCGAATCAAAAGTTTAGCTGATGTCTTGGAATATCCAAGTGGCTCTAAATATTCAAATATTAATTGCAAGCCAAACCCACAGCACTTCCAGGTCCTTTTTTACGCAATTCCAATCAGTCAACAAAAGGGTTGTTATAATGACACCCCGTGAGGCAGGAAGGGTCGACCGTAATTAAAACAGCTGAGCTGAGTCAGCAGAATCCAAGATTCAATTAAAGCATTCAAGAAAACCCCTCTAAACACATTTCGGACAAAAAGGTGATGAATATCTTGCAATCACACGCAAGGCAAGGGAAGGTAACCAAAAGAAATTATAGTGCATTGTTACCGTCGCGTGATTTAATCCCTCCCAATTTGAACAACCTATTGGCGCATCACGGTTTGAAAGCCCGTATCGCGCCCAAGGTTTACCGCACTGGGATCCGGGCCAGCCAAACAGTAGAGAAAATATACATTCAGACGTAGTTTCATAAGGTCAGCTTTGGCTGGCGTTAAAATTTCAGCAAAAATGTGGAGGAATGTCAGCAGACGTGAATCCTAACAATGGTAGCAGACGACATATTTAGGAAAGGTAAACGACCGTGGGTGGAACAAGAAGAACTATGACGTCAACAGTTTTGTGTCACCCGACACTGATGGCAGCGATATCGGGAACACGTGTACGCGCCACGGTTATTCGGTAGAAGAAATAGTTAAAACACGCGTGTGATTATTAAATTTGACTGAACTGAGTCATCTGAGGGTTACCATATTTCTGGCAACTAGATTCAATCCGAGTTCACCAATGCATACAGAGGATTACTTGGGACAGTCCCTGAAATAGCAACCTTAGATATCAGACGGTTTCCCCGACGTACTGCCACAATCGTTAAAATTATCGCCGATTGTTGAACAGCTCTTTGATTAATAACAAAGCAACAGAACTACACATAATATCGAAAAATATATAAATTATTT